CCAACGGGAGGGTGACCAGGATACTGCGGATGGGGAGGCTTTGGACCCACAGCAGGATGGCCAGAGTCCTGCTGATGCAGTATTGTTTTATAGGGTAATTTAAGCCCATGAGGTAGGGATCTGGGACTCACTGGGCCTCCTACTGTGTAACCAGGCTCAACAGGAAAGAGAGGTTCACCAGTTGAGTGAAAAAGAGGACCCAGGACTTCATTATCCCCATATTTCTTTGCAGAACCAGCATTATCAGCTGTTGGAACAAAGCAACCATTATTTAAAAACCTTTAGTTACATAACCACAGATTTGCTGCTTGAATTTTTGGTACATCAGCATTTCTAAAAAAAAAAAGTCACTTTTGCCACACCAAAATATGTTTTGGTTTATCATACAAACAAGGTGAAAACATTTTAAGCTTGCCATTAACTTGATCCAATCCAGTGGCTAACAGGGAAAACAGCAACAATCTGGGAAGATAATTTTTTTTGTTAGGTTTCTCTCCATTTGAAAGCCTACTAAAACATTTAAACAAAGATTAACACTCACCTAAAGAAATATTGCATGTTTTAGACACAGCAGCAAACTAACTTTTGACGGTCACAATTAAACCAGTCATCTAGTCAAATAAAACATCAAACTGAATTCCCACTTGACAGGTTTTTGTACCTTTGCCTCTGCCTTGATTATTTAGATCAACTCAGGTGTGTCATGTTAAGAATGCAGGTGTGACTAATAGGAGGAAGATGGTGCTTCTTCTTCTCCTTCATGCAGTTTTATGGTGATTTACAAACAATGGAAGGTGTGCATTACCACCACCTACTGATATGAAGTGTGGATCCAAATGCCTATATTATGTCTGCAGCCATGCTTGTGTTCTATTTACTAAATTTGTGTTTCTAAAAAAATGTATAATAATTTGAATACTTAATTTCTTGTTTCATTTTACAAACCATCAAATCTCTCCCCGGCAGCTCGCATTCATCTGACCTGCCATCGCAACTTCTTGTTAACTTTGATCCTGTGTCAAATAAGCACGAGATCCTGAACTGTTTCAACAAACATTTTGTTGATTCTAGTTCTTTGTTTGCCACAGTTACTAATGGAAAATCAGCCACTTCTCCTTTAGCCTCCTAAGACCTGAACTCTTGTATGACATACATAATTAATTCCTGTAATGTCCACATATGTGGATGCCCCAACAGGGTGTGTGTGAGTAGAGCAGCACCAATTTTGTCAAGCGTCCTACACTCGCCCCCACACACACTTCCTGTTTCTGAGCCGAACTCTTCTCCGCTGAATTCATTCCTGCGCGTTGTTGCTCCTGCTGCTCCAATCTCAATTACGGCTGCCTTCTCAGTTGTCCAACTAAGGAAAACAAACAAACAAACAAACAAACCAACCAACCAACCAACCAACCCATCCATCCATTTATTTAATGATAGTAAATTGGACTGTCTTTTCGACATTTTGATCGCTGTTATTTTGACAAATTAGCACCGTTGTTTTTTGATACGTGATTAATGGTACGTGATAATACCAACAAGCTGGTATGGATTATAAGAAAACATAAGAAGGAATATTATAGTGACTTGCTAAACAAAAGTAAGAGTGATATGAAAGCAACATGGGGAGCAATGAATAGTGTTTTGAAAAATCATAAAGTACGATCAGGTATTTGACAGTATTTTGTAAAAGATGACAAGAAACTCTACGAGCAAAATGAAATAGTAAATTAATTCAATGGATATTACGTGAATGTTGGCCCAAGTCTTGCAGCTAAAGTACAAAATGTAAATAATGATGTGAGTCATACAGTCATGGGTTGTGCCAACAGCATTTTTCTCGGTGACTCTGATAAAGAAGAAATACTGAGTACTGTAAAAAATCTTGCAGATCAAAGATCAAAAGACTGGATAGACATGGACGTGATGTTTGTAAATAATATGATGAGATATGTTTTTGACCATCATTTACATAAATATGTAATTTATCATTTTCAACAGGAAAATTTCCAGAAAATATAAAAATAGCAAAAATAGTTTATAAGAATGGTGAGAAATGTGTGTTCACTAATTACAGACCAATATCCTTGTTGCCACAATTTTCAAAAATATCAGAGAAATGAATTGTAACCAGATTAGATTGATTTGTGGAGGAAACAAATGTATATATTTCACGTCAGAATGTGCTCTTATTGTGAAAGGAACAGAATATAAACGGTTGTAATTCATTTGTTTTTTTCTGAGCATGATGTTGGAAGACGTAGAGAATAAATCGAGACTCAAAATATTTCCGTATCTTTCTGCCGACTTCCACATTGGTGACCCCGAACATCTGAACATGTTTTCGAACGAGAACTCACCAGATGCTGAAACTGCTTCTCCATCAGCTGTGTTTTCGGACCAAGTTTTTGGCCGGGCAGACATTGCTCCAACCGCCGTGGTCTCGTCTCCTGCTACCGCTTCATCTGCTGTGTTTGCTGCCATTGTTAAGCTTCCGGAGTTCTGGCAACATGATACGGAACCATGGTTCCAGCATGTGGAAGCCCAATTTAATCTCCGTGGAATCACCGCAGACGAGACTAAGTACTTTCACGTCGTTGCTGCTTTGGATTCTGGTTCCACCCGCCGTCTGACGGGTCTGCTGCAGGACCCACCAAGCACTAACAAGTACAGTGCGCTCAAGGAGAACCTGCTGCGGCTTTACCAACTGTCAGACGTGGAGCAGGCTGACAGTTTGTTGTCCCTGAATGGCTTGGGGGATTGCAAGCCCTCCGGGCTGATGGAGAACAAGCTGGCGTTACTTGGCTCAGGGGGTGTTTCCTTCCTTTTTACGCACCTGTTTCTTGGCCAGCTTCCCCCACCTGTTCGCACCACGCTGGCCAGCTCTCCGCTGATCCGAACGAAGGATTATTGCTCCCTAGCGGACCGACTTTTGTTAGCTTCCAGGCACTACAGTGTGCAGGCACTTTTACCAGGTGTGACTCAAAGGGGGGCGGAGGCTGTTGATGCCGTGGCTGCGGTGACGGAGTGGCGGAAGGACGACGTGCTTTGCTTCTACCACCGCTGGTTTGGAGCACAAGTGAAGCGCTGGATTCCTCCGTGTTCATTCCATGCATCAGGGAAACGAGAGGGCCGGCGCTCACTAGCAGCTGTGTGTGCTGGCAGCTCAGATAAGCTGCTCTTCTTCATGGACAAGGTTTATGGACGGCATTTCCTGGTGGACTCGGGTGCACAGCGGAGCATTATGCCAGCTTCATCTACAGATGCCTTGTGTCAAAGTAACGGACCTCCGCTGGACGTGGCTAATGGCACCCCCATTCAAACTTTTGGATCGAGATCGGTGACTGTGTGTTTCAACGGACGTCAGTTCCAGTGGGACTTTGTAATAGCTTCTGTGTCTGTACTTATTTTTGGCGTTGATTTTTTATGTGTTTTCAGGTTATTAGTGCATGTTGCTAATAGCTGCTTAATTGATGCTGTGTCTTTTGATACCTACCCCTGTAAACTTGGAGGTCCTGCCTATCAACCTCTTGCTAACATGCTTACAACAGGTGATGAGTATCAGTGTTTTTGTCAGAGTTTCCTGCTCTGACAGTTCCCATCTTTTCTGCTACCATAGCTAAACATGGGGTGGAACATTGTATCACTACAGTTGGCTCACCGGTTTTTGCACGAGCACGCCGCCTAGATACCACTAAGTTAGCAATAGCTAAGGAGGAGTTTGTTAACATGGAGCATCTGGGCATTGTGAGACGTTCCAAAAGTCCATGGGCATCCCCCTTGCACATGGTGCCAAAGGCTGATGGGGGTTGGCGACCCCGTGGGGATTTTCGGCGCCTTAACAAGCTAACCAGTAATGACAGGTACCCAGTCCCTCACATTCAGGATTTTTCTGGCCGCCTGGCTGGGTCAACTGTTTTTTCCAAGGTAGATTTGGTGCGGGTCTACCATCAGGTTCCTGTGCATCCCTTAGATGTACCAAAAACTGCAGTTATCAGACCTTTTGGTCTTATTGAGTTTTTACGGATGCCTTTTGTACGGTGGCCGACGGGTGCAAACGCGCAGCAAACGGCGAAACACGCAGCAAACACATGTATGATACAAACACAAAAAACACGTAAACACAAAAAAAAACATGCAAACAAAAAACAAACAAA